AACATTCGAAACAAAATTATCAGAAATGGCAGATTTTTAACTGTAAATAGGATGTTTATATGTGTATAAAAATAAGTTAGTCAACGGTTATGAACTGAAATATATATTTTGGTGGCAACATACCTGTTTGGTATACACACATATAGCTTTCGAGCAGTTTAAGAAAAAAAACCAAAATATGGAAATAAAGTAAAAAACAAAATAAAAGACACCAACACACGAGATTGCAGCGTTTTTTTTTTTCTTTAAAAATTCAAATCGAACTACTATCTACTATTTTTTTGCAATTTTTGAATTTTTGCTTTGAGTGTAAAATTGAGGGTGCTACAAATTTTAATATAAAGGTTGTTTTTCTTAGACATGTAGTTTTCAAGAGGAATTAAAACGCATGTAATTAGATGATATGASCAAAATGTTTTGAAAATGATTTCCGGTAAGTGACCGCCGGCTGATTCGCGAAAACTCTAACTGAGAGGCCAAGCGATTGGCGTCGTATAGCAATAAAAGCTAAATATTTTTCAGACTTCAGACAACTGCACAATAAATAGTACAGCGGTGTTAAACCGCACGATCTTGGAAGTCATGCCACAGGCTCAAGGCGCGAGATATTTTGCTCCACATTAGTTTCCTTCAATAAATTGATTACCTCGTTGGCTGTATGGCATGTAGCAGCGTTTTATTGGAACCCAAGGTCGTTCACATCAACATTCTCTAATTAAGAAACGAACGCAAAAGTTATTCACCATGATATCTGAGGTAGTTTCATCTACAGCTCTCTGCCTTTGACTGTAACATAATGACCGGTTTCATTTTTGAAGAAATATGAACCAATGATTCCCTYTGCTCATGGTGCACACAAAACAATGACATTTCGAAGATGTAACGGCATCTTAATATTGTCTTTTGGATTATTATTTGGATCCATTCACCGAAAATGCGACGACATTGATGGTTGCTCGGCTTCAATTCTTGCATATGTTGRAAGCAATACCCCACCGCAAAATCTTTCATAAAGTAGATGGACACAGTTCTAATTGTTGTGCGCGAAATCAAGTAACTGCTTTCAAAAAGGCCGACTACGTTAAACATAATGCGTCATTGAAAGCTATACGTTTTAAAARACACCTGCTTTCTCTGAAGGGCTACTTGATTCCTTTCGTTTTTTGTCATGGTATTCCTTTCACCTAGATGTTTGACATTTCCAGCCGACGTGATTTTGTTTGGCGATTGCAATCGAATCCAGGCTTTTGCGCAGCGCTGGTGCTTATCAATAACCAATACTGGGATATGGTATGGTCGAAGTGTTACTTTGCTAAGTCGCATTTTCGAAATAATTTAAAGCTCAACATTTCTTTTGTTCGTCATTTTGTATCAAAATATAAAATTATTAAAAAAATGAATTTCATTTCTATACAGACTGAGTATTTAAAATGAATTAGCTGGATAATGATAGTATAACCAAAACTCTGCGTCTTCCTAAAACTCTGAAAGATAAAGTCTAGAAGACTCAAATCAAAAAAGTTTGTAGACCATTCTCAACACTAATAACTAGTTGAAAATTCCATTGTTATTGTACAACTGATAAGAGGGCATTCAGAAGTTGTAGCTCATGGAATCTMATTGTAGATTTAATAAATGAGTTGTTTTCACAGAACTGTAGAGAGAAAACTAATCAATCAGCCTTTTTTTTATCAACAAAGATAACCCACTTAGAATTTGCAGTTGAGATAAAGATTTGATGTGTTCTGAGCCATGGGATGTGATCCCTATTTTGAAACATAGATGCAATGGCCTTTATCCTGAGCCTACAGACTGCAGTGCWGCCAATTAGCAAGTGTTCTGGAGTTTCAAGCTTCATCTCGCAGAACCGGCAATTAGCAAAAGAAGCTAGGACCATGTTATGTAGGTGCTTCTTGAGGTTGCAGTGACCAGTGTAGAAGGTAACAAATAGTCTGAGTTTGTTCTTTGGGAAGTTGATTACGTATTTAAACCTTTTACGGCTGTTACCACCTATTAGCAACTTGGCATGGCGYATGTCACAGAGTTGTTGCCAATACTACTCCCTACTCATTCCTTCTTCCATGGGCAGCAGAGTTTTTTTTTTTTGGTATGGGGACCAACCGCAATGAACGGTTCGGGTCTTACTATGAGCGGGCGAGCTCATCAGCCAGTTCATTTCCGGCAATACTTTTTTGACCATGCACCCAGATAAGGTACAGCTGGCACAATCTGATAGATTGTTTTGCCGTTCTATAAACTCGTGATTTGATATAGTGATTTGATCTCGTACATGGTATCAGTATCACCCTAAATGTATACTACGTTTGCTGTGAAACTATTTTCTTCACAAACTTTGGTAAAGCTCACTTTCGTTTCAACTAAGAAACTTTTTCGTTGAAAAAAACCAAAAAAATTTTTTTTTTACATTTTACTGCTTTATTTTTAGTATTAACAAATTTACATAACAATATAAAAATAATTTAAGGCTTTCGAAATGTAAATACGAAAATTGGCTATTTTGTAACTAAATTCTTCTAATATTTAGTCTCTAAAAAAGCCGTGCTTTCATGCTTTTTTTGAAGTCCATAAAAAAATCCAAATCTAATAGTAATAATCMACTACAAACATATCTGATCGATAATATACTGTACGATTACCAATCGGTTGCAAAGGTCTATAGTTGTTTAGTAATTTCCGGCCCTCCTCATCGCGTACAAACCAAAAGTTTTTCAGCTGTAAATTAGAGAATATTTAAAAATTAAACAAAAATTCACGATAGGATTACAAAAGCAAAACTATTCGTTACGCACATTAAATACAGAGATGGGTATAACATYCGGGTACACAACCCATGTGACCGCTTCGGAACAGGGCGGTGTCGTSAGTGAACCCTGATAGGTGTAAAAGTTGTCACGATTAATATTCGCCAGYAGCGAGCCCAATGTAATCAATTGTCGTGTCGAGGCCGTTGAATTATAACGAAGCACAAACGGCACAGTGTTGAAGACCGTGCTCGGACCAGGGAAGAAATTACTGGCAATAGTCTATAAATGGTGAAAATGTCGAAATTCATTTATTAAGTCAAATGCAAGCGGCGAAACATAACATAATACGACATTTACCTTTTCCACTTTAAAGAAAGCGCCTATCACCGAAAGACCATCTTCGAACTCGCGCGCCWCCTCCACAGTTTCGTATTTTGAGTTTTTGTGTACTACATGCATTTCGACGTCATAACGTTTGCCATTGAGTTGATGCTCGGAACCCTTAGTCAATGGTGAACCCCAATGGAAGTGTACCTCTACGGCTTCGTAGATGTCCTTAAGTGGTCCATTTGTAATGTACGGTATCTGATTTTCAATTGTTGGTGGTACATTGAATTTGACTGTGTGGGTAAACGTTTTTTGTTGAAGCGTAGTTGAGTCAAAAAAAGAGATACTTAGTCAAAATAATGTWTTGTAAATGTAATATGGCTTGAAGTTTATAAACTTCTCTGGTTACAGGTATGCCATTTCCTCYATTTTTATTAGTATTTATACTTACTTGTGTGTCCATTGTTCTCTAAAAYAATATAGTTGGAAAGAAAGACATCATAGTTTCCGAATACAATCGGTGAAATATCGACGTCCACTACCTATAAAATAAAGTAAATTAAGTAATGATGAGTGATCAGTAAAGTRCACTCGAATTTAATATAATTTTAGGCGTCATTATACCCTTAACAGGTATATTAAGTTTGTCACGAAGTTTGTAATAGCCAGTAGATAACGTTGRCGTCCCTATAAAGTGAGCGTTTAGATAAAAATGTGTTGGTAGGAAACATTTGTTGCGAACGAAACTTAATTTTTTTTCTGTTTGGTTGGCATGACATCTGTCAAACATATCCGGTAACCTATCATTCAATAAACAGAAAACATCATATTTTTTCCTTGTGTTGAAAATATCAAATTTTTTAACGAAAAGTGTTGATTCGCGGAGAGCATTAATTTTTTTGTTTCCATTCGATGAAATATGCTGCAGAGTTGCAYCGAATGCTTGTCGACGCATACTGTGACTATGCTCTATGAGAAGCAACGTGCCAAAGATGGCTCATCGGTTCAGAGATAATAGTTATGATGTGACAAATGAAGAACGTGTCAAAATGCAAGCAATATTGGATGAAGATGATACTTTGAGTCAAAAGTAAATGATCGCCATGTTATATGTTGCACCACAAACGATTTCAAACCGTTTGAAAKCTTTTGTAAAGATTGCCACTAACAAAACAAAGARGGCACAATAGACCTAAGATCGTGGTTCAATCCTCGTCTATTTATCTTACAATGAAAAATTAATTTGTTTTAAGAATAATTTACGTATAAAATCATGGGTTAATCCGGGACACCAACAACATCGACTGCAAAAACATATCAATTCGGTAAGAAATCTGTGTTTGGTGGGATCAGAAGGGTGGGGCATATCATGAGCTTTTGAAACCTAGTAAACTAACAATCACTCAAGACAACAAATTATCAATTTGAACCCTGCATTGATCGAAAAATGACCAGAAAGGGTCAGAAAATATGGCAAAGTAATTTTATTACACGACATCGCAGCTACACACAAAACAAAATGGTTGAGGATGYTATAAAAGTACTTGGCTGGGAGTTGCTACCCCATACGCAGTATTCATCAGGCTTTGTCTCTTCCGATTAAAATTTATTTTCATCGATGGGACACAGACCCACCAAAGGGGCAGAWGTCGAAAATGGCGTGTCTGATATCCTTGCTTCAAAAGACGAACACTTCTATTGACATGGTGTCCACAAATTGCTAGAAAGGTGGTTAAAATGCAGGGCTTAATACTTCGAATAATTTTGTTTTCCTTTCCTATTCAAAACTATGTAGTACTTCATTTTCATAAAAAAYGCTTATTTCATTTCGGTACTTTGTAAGAAAACCATTTTTCAACCAGTTTGCCGATARAGTTCTGGTTAAGCGCTTAACCAGACATTGAGGAACGGCACTAAACGGCCGTTCACAAGTTTAGTTTTAAAAATTAAGCTTTCTTAATAAACTTTATTTAAATCTAGCTCTTACTTAGTCTCACATATAGTACCACTCACCTTATTTGAGTTAATGGCAATTGGCGATTGCTTTTGACCACCACATTGCGGATAATCCAGTTGCCATTCGGCGGGGTTGTCATAGTTGAAAGAACCACCTGAAAGGTAAAAACAAAATATAAATAAACAAAAGAAATGTCACACTATGCTGCCTCAAAAAATCACCACACACGCGCATGAAGTTTCGCTAATGCCGCTTATATAATTCAATGTATTTTGCAATTAAACGCTCACTTAGTTACTTAAGAAAATGCTCGTAAATAACACAAACAACAAWAGCAAAGAGGTATGACTTCAGCAAACGTTTTAAAAACGTATATTTAAAGAAATTTGAACTAAATCATATGAAAGCGAAAGTGCTGTGGAGCGTTAGATCTCAGTAATCATTTGTAAGCATTGAAATTAGGAAACATACGCGTAATAACCTATTTAATGCTACAATTAGTCTAAATGTTGTCCAACGCTCACAAAGCATTGCGTCGTCGTGCGCTTATGTCAATCAGATGTTAGAGATACATGTGACTCGAAGTTCACAAAAGTAAATGCATATGGTAATATAATTATCTAGGTGAATAACCTGTTGTTAAGAGAAAAAAAGAAAGAAAAAAAAGAAAATTGTGGCAATCTCATAGAAGTAGTGCATACTGGATGTAGTAGGGATGCCATGGAAATGTTGACTTAAAATATTTTAATGGGCGTTATATGATG